ATGAAAATGCAATGAGCTTAATGATAGAGTCTCGAATTTGTTTTGTGGTCCCAAGTTTATCCACATTGAAATTTACTCATAGAAAGACAAAAATTTCCCAGGAAAACACACTAGAGGACAACTGAAGTAGCTAAAATCAAGGACATAATAAAGAACACAAGCAATAATGTTGGTCTTAAAATAAATATAAACAGACAACACATACAGAGTAAGTACCAAAGCAGATGAGAATTTAATGTTTAATTACCTGATCTTGATATTTTAGATCTTTGAAGAACTAACACCCATTTACAAATCTTGAAGAAGAAAGAATTCCAGATCCTAGAACCAAATTTGAGAGAAGTGAGAAAAACACTAAATAAAATTTCAGGAGAAAGAATGTAATGAAGCAAATCCAAGATGCAAGAAAATCAAGAAAATGAACAGCTCAGACAAAGAGACAAGAGACCTTTCTTTGGCCCTCTTCTTAAGGCAAGTGTCAATGTGGAAGGAAGATAACGAAAGAACTGTGGAGAGATCTAAGCTTGTAAGGAGCTGTCATGTAACTACAACAACTACACTAAAACTGTAATAAAACATATTCAAATAAACACTCTGGCCCAGCCAGTGAATAGATAATTTAAGAGAATTTATTAAGTTTTGGGTTTAATATGAGTAAGAGAAGGAAATCGACAAAAAGGGAGAAAACTTTGAAATGTGGGGAGTGAGATCTGGTGGAAGGTAATAAGAGAAGAAGAAGAGATAGAGTTATCAAGTGTTAGGTAGTGAAAGGTTTTTTAAGTGTTTTTATTTGTTTTCTTTAATTTTTATGGTGAGAGAGACAAAGGAGAGATGTCTTGCCTTGCATTACAATTAGTCAATTACATTATTCAGAACATCATGGGAATGTGTAAGGTTCACATGTGAGGACGATGATGATGTTTTAGTTACCAGAAGTAACTGTCAGGTTTATTGCACTGCATGGTCAAAAAAAGAAAACATAACAGCAGAATAAAGTGTAGTGAATGATTAGTAAAGACGAGTCTTAAATAGAGAATTATATTATTCTTAGAAAGATGAAAATTGCAAATCAAATTCTAGTATATTTTTTTTTAACTGTGCTCCAAAATTTTGCACAGGAACATGTATAGACGATCGAAAACCAAAATTTTGCATGACAGGTTTTGCCCCAAAAAAAAAAAAAAAGTTAATCACTAGAAGGTGGAGAGTATTAAATAGTTGTGACATTGTGAATTTCATCCAACGAGGACCTTACAAGCCTCGAGAGAAATTACCATCGATAGAGCCATAGAGGTTTCCTAATACATAGCAAATGTTGTAGAAATATTTTTGGTTTCAAAACACAAGTTATAAAATTGGTATCTCTAAATCACCCAAGTGCAAGCGCAACCGTTATAGTAATTTAGAAATCGATCCCACCAGGAATAAAGATTGCAACACTAAATATGCGAGCTTCAAACTAATATAGAGAAAATGCAAGAAGTAAAATAAGATAAAAGCATTAAACTATGAGTTTTATTATCATGAAAATGAATTTAACAATCATGCAATGAAGTAAGACGTTTAACCAGAACATGAAACTCACAAATATGACTAATTCCACTTCCGTGACACTAACAACTTCACAAATACTCTAATTATGTTTGTCTATATGATCAATGAGCATTAATAACAAGTCTATTTTCACAAACGCCTTCCAGATATGAAAGCTCATATCAAAAGAAGAGGTTGGATCTAAATCAACTTTTAGAGTAGAGAAGTTTCCGGATCGACACATAACAGATCTGGGTCTGATCATGGACTTTGGATCGTGAGAATGTCCCTCTACACCCAGGTCCTGCCCTTGACACATACATATAACATATAGGTATTGGGCCTCTAATTTCGTGGCCCATTTTGTGTAAAAAATTAATAGTGTCTTAAGAGTATCTTAGAAATAAATGAAAGAATTTAAGCCCATTTAAAAAAAAAAAAAAAAAAGCATTTTGTTTCATTGTGAATTTTTTTTCTTCTTTATAACGCACAATTAGCAAAATATAGAAAATTTAACAGTTTAAAAAGACTCCCCGAAAATGACAGGACCGGCACTGGCTACAACCTTTCCAGGTTTTCAAGGGAAGTTTCCGGATGAACTTCTTTTACGCATCAAATTGATACATTTTCAGTTAACAGGCCATAACTCTTACCGCAGCTCGGATTAATCCACAATGACCGCCACTGAAAAGCTAACTCAATTTCGTATTGACTTTCGTAAGGACCTTCGAAGAAACAAATCCCAAGGGTACACCCGAGTCTGGGACTGGTTTTTGATTACTATTATCTTTAAAGAAATAGTATCCAAATGTATGTCCTTTTTTAATTTTGTCCTGGAATAACTTACAAAAACATACAAAACACACGAAAAGACACACAAAAACACTATAGAACTTCTAAAATGGAAGAAAACTCACTTGGACTCTAAATAGACAAAACATAATGAAAATACCAATAAAATACGATAAAAAATGATATTAAAAACCGTGATAAAGCGGTAAATATAGAGTATATCAGCAAGTTCGACACATGCCACTATGCCAGCTTACTAAGATATGGCGTCAAGGGTTTGTACAAGACTAATAAGCACGTCAATGCCTGATAGCTCGTAAGATATAGAAAGTAAAACACCTACAAATGCCTTTTCGTAAGAAGGTGTAAGAAATCTAGTGGAAACACTAAAAGAGGCAACCCTGGTTCTCGGAAAACAGACGCAAGATCCTTCATGTTTGTTTATCGTGACCAAGATGTATTTTGAAGCTTTCCAATCAGGCCCGGCCCAAGTGGGTAGGGTAGAGGTGCTTAGGTTTAAAGCTCATCAATATTTTTATTTATAAGCTTATACAAAAAAGCCTAATTCCTTTTAAAAATATTAAAAATAAGGCCTCAAAACAAATTTTAGTATAAATTATATAGCCCTCATCTGAGCCCAAATGCCAAAAGAAAAGAAAAGTGAATTGAAAACGTTATATACTACTAGATAAGGCCCGCCTATTTAGGCGGGTGTACCCGAAATTTTCAAATACTCGAACGAGTTTAAATTTCAAAACCCGAAAAACTCGAACCCAAACCCAAATAAGTATCCAAACATATTTCAAATATAAGTATATATTAGTTATATTTATACTTATATATAGAAAATACTAGGATTTTTTGGATATCTTAGTTATTTTTGTATATTTTTAGATATATTCAAGCAAAACTACTCGTGTTGTTTTGAAAATTTTTGAAATTTTTAAGTAATTTAATAGATTTGCACACAAAATTTAATATTTCAATATATAAATAAACTCGAACCCGAACCCAAACCGAACCCGACCCGAAATCTTAAATTACCCGAATGGGTCCTAAACTTCTAAACCCGAAAACCCGAACCCGAAATACCCGACCCGAATACCCAAACGCCGAGGGCTAATAATTAATTAAGAAAAAGAAATCCACAAAAATATTTAAAAACCAAACATTGTTGAAAATATATTTTCTATATATGCCGTAATCTCGTAAGTTAATTTTACATCATGCAAATTAATAATAAATGAGTTAAAATTAATAAATAAAAATAATTGAAAAGTTAAATCGTATAAGCTAAGCTATTTTTCTCAAAATGTTCTATCTTCTACATATACATTTTTGCAGCCATTTTAACAAATAAATCCTGGATTTGGACTTATTTACAACTCAATGCCATTAGCATTAAATCTTTTCTCCAAAATAATTAATTTTACTTTAAATTCTTAATTGAAATTGTCAACCACATTATCAATCAAATTTAATCCAAACAAACTTCAAGTCAATCCCTTTAAATTAGCATAAACATATTTGAATAAACAGAAATCCAGATAATGATTTACTAAAATTTTTGATTAAATGAAAACACTATATTACAATATATAACTTTAAATGAAACAATTATCACGTCCTTATCGATAATTGATAAACAATTATCGATAAGGACGTTACTTAATAACGATTGTAAATTATAAAATAAAAATATTTTATAAATAGATACAATTTAAATTTTTTTATATATACTAACTTTAAAATATAAATTGTCCCCGCGATGTACCGCGGGTTAAAATCTAGTTTTCACTTATGATTACATGAGTTAAAGACAAATTTGTTAATTTTCATTTTATTGAATAAATGTTAATTGTTTATAAATATATAGACATATAAATTAGTATATGTAAATTTGTTTACTTTTTAAGATTTTCTATTTTTTTAGAGAATAAAAAAGTTAAATTTTGAATGACATATGTAAACATCTGATCGTTTGACTTGACACGTGGCACAATCCTATGAGTTAGCAACTTTGAAAACCATACTTTATATAATAAGATTTGTTTACTTTTTAAGATTTTCTATTTTTTTAGAGAATAAAAAAGTTAAATTTTGAATGACACATGTAAACATCTGATCGTTTGACTTGACACGTGGCACAATCCTATGAATTAGCAACTTTGAAAACCATACTTTATAAGATACGAACGAGTTTTGATATTCTTCGTAGAAGTAACCATTGGAGGCCAATAACTACCCTTCATCAATTTAAGACGGGCCCAACTACCGAAGCCGTGGTGCGTAAAGCTCTCTAATTACTCTTAAGAGAAAAAAAGGCAAGAAAAATAAAGAAGCAAAATACTCAAGGCAAAAGTTATAACCAACAAATACACAAAAGAAATAACCAAATGAGCAAACAAAGGAGGTTTAACCAAAACAGTCATTCCACTCCAATGTTTTATATTTTCTTTGATCAAACCAACACATAATTTTAGAGTTTCCAACGTTCATTCATGGGTAGTAGTGAAAAAACATTTGCCGCTTTTTTGCACGATTTTTATAGCTTAATAGAGACTTTCTCTAAATGACTTTGTAATAGAGACTCACTATGAGTATGCTAACTTAATACAAATCATTGTGTTCATAGAATATTTAGATCAGTACACATGCATGAAATAGAATACAATCCGACCTTCGCTCAGTTGGTAGACCGGAGGACTGTAGTAGACACAGATTATCCTTAGGTCACTGGTTCGAATTCTGTAGGTCAGAATTTGCTCCCACATGAGAGCTTTTTTAATTTTCTTTTGTTGTGACATTAAGGATTTTGAATTTTATAATCAAAAACGGTTATATGGTGGTCAACAATTAAACATACCGAAAAGTTTTGCTCGAATACTTAAACGATCCGTATGTTTAGCTTTTTTCAATATTGATACGATGAGAAATAATTTAAAAGTGACTAAAACCTATGAGTTTTTTAATTTTCTTTGGTCAAACAAACATTTAGTTTTAGAGTTTTTCAAAGAAAAAAAAATGTATGCATATTCAAATGCTTGTGGGTTGTGCCTATAAGTTGTCAACGTTCATACAAGGGTAGTGAAATACCCTTTCCCACTTTGTTCCACGATTTGTTTGGCTTTATTTTCAGGAATATAAACAATCATAGCACAATCTCAATAATACAAGCATAAATATATCATCAAAGTTTCTCTTTAGAAATAATTTATTTTTTGAATTGAGAAAATATTATAAAAATTCAAAAAACTCAAGACAGCCAAATAGGTTTATGGTTCTAATCCTTTTTATTTTGTTCATAAACTGCGTCATCCTTGGAATCTTCTACTTCTCACTCATGATCAGAATTTAGGATAGAGAATGATATACGGTTTAATCTATTTTGAAATAAAAGTTTAGTTTAGAGAAAAAGTGGACGTGCCGGAGTGGTTATCGGGCATGACTAGAAATCATGTGGGCTTTGCCCGCGCAGGTTCGAATCCTGCCGTTCACGTTTTTATTTTGAGTGTTGGTAAGTTTTTAAAATTACTTATTGTGTTTTATGGATTGTCTTTGAATTTGAACGGTTTTCCATCATGTTACCGTTTTCAGTAAAATTTAGTATTGAAAAAAAACCTTTGAAAAAACAAGACAGCATGAAAGATATGAAGTCAACTTTCTTTCTACTCCTCTTCTTGATAAGTTTAAATTTGATTAAAAAGCTTTTCTTGAATCATCAACATGCATAAAGTGTTATAATACAAAACCGACCTTAGCTCAGTTGGTAGAGCGGAGGACTGTAGTTGACGCAGATTATCCTTAGGTCACTGGTTCGAATCCGGTAGGTCGGATCATAAAAGTTTAAAGCTTTTTTTCATTTCGTTTCAAAGTGCTTAGACAAGAGTATAACTATAAACTCGTTTTTCTATGAGAAATGCATAGCTATTGACTGTATTATCAGAAATGAGTGGGAAATCTCGAAGTAATTTTCACTATATTTTAAATCGTTCAACGGTAAACCCTCATTTTCGTATATTTACAAGATTTATGCAAGTATTTTTCTAATATAATGTTTATATAAATTCAAACTTTGTTTACAAATTTGTAATAGAGACTCACTATGAATATGCTAACTTAATACAAATCATTGTGTTCATAGAATATTTAGATCAGTACACATGCATGAAATAGAATACAATCCGACCTTAGCTCAGTTGGTAGAGCGGAGGACTGTAGTAGACGCAGATTATCCTTAGGTCACTGGTTCAAATCCGGTAGGTCGGAATTTGCTCCCACATGAGAGCTTTTTATTTTCTTTTGTTGTGACATTAAGGTTTTTGAATTTTATAATAAACGGTTATGTGGTGGTCGATAATTAAACATACCAAAAAGTTTTGCTCGAATTCTTAAACGATCCGTACGTTTAGCTTTTTTCAATACTGATACTATGAGAAATGATTTAAAAGTGACTAAAAATTATGAGTTTTCTAATTTTCTTTGGTCAAACAAACATATAGTTTTAGATTTTTTAAAAGAACAAAAAATGTATGCATAATTATATTCAAATGCTTGTGGGTTGTGCCTATAAGTTGTCAACGTTCATACAAGGGTAGTGAAATACCCTTTCCCACTTTGTTGCACGATTTGTTTGGCTTTATTTTCAAGAATATAAACAATCATAGCACACTCTCAATAATACATGCATAAATATATCATCAAAGTTGCTCTTTAGAAATAATTTATTTTTTGAATTGAGAAAATATTATAAAAATTCAAAAAAATCAAGACAGGCAAATAGGTTTATGGTTCTAATCTTTTTTATTTTGTTCATAAACTGCGTCATCCTTGGAATTTTCTACTTCTCACTCATGATCAAAATTTAGGATAGAGAATGGTATACAGTTTAGTCTATTTTGAAATAAAAGTTTAGTTTAGAGAAAAAGTGGACGTGCCGGAGTGGTTATCGGGCATGACTAGAAATCATGTGGGCTTTGCCCGCGCAGGTTCGAATCCTGCCGTTCACGTTTTTATTTTGAGTGTTGGTAAGTTTTTAAAATTACTTATTGTGTTTTATGGCTCGTTTTTGAATTTGGACGGTTTTCTTTCATGTTACCGTTTTCAGTAAAATTTAGTATTGATAAAAAACTTTAAAAAAACAAGACAGCATGAAAGATATGAAGTCAACTTTCTTTCTACTCCTCTTCTTGATAAGTTTAAATTTGATTAAAAAGCTTCTCTTGAATCATCAACATGCATAAAGTGTTATAATACAAAACCGACCTTAGCTCAGTTGGTAGAGCGGAGGACTGTAGTTGACACAGATAATCCTTAGGTCACTGGTTCGAATCCGGTAGGTCGGATCATTAAAGTTGAAAGCTTTTTTTTTTTCCATTTCGTTTCAAAGTGCTTAGACAAGAGTATAACTACAAACTCGTTTTTCTATGAGAAATTGGTGTAAGAGAATTGCATAGCTATTGACAGTATTATCATAAACGAGTAGGAAATCTCGAAGAAATTTTCACTGTATTTTAAACCGTTTAAGGGTAAATCCTCATTTTCGTATATTCACGAGATTGAGGCAAGATATTAAGTGTTTTTCTAATATAATGTTTTTATAAATTCAAACTTTGTTTACAAATTTGTAATAGAGACTCACTATGAGTATGCTAACTTAATACAAATCATTGTGTTCATAGAATATTTAGATCAGTACACATGCATGAAATAGATTACAATCCAACCTTAGCTCAGTTGATAGAGCGGAGGACTGTAGTAGACGCAGATTATCCTTAGGTCACTGGTTCAAATCCGGTAGGTCGGAATTTGCTCCCACATGAGAGCTTTTTATTTTCTTTTGTTGTGACATTAAGGTTTTTGAATTTTATAATAAACGGTTATATGGTGATCGATAATTAAATATACCAAAAAGTTTTGCTCGAATTCTTAAACGATCCGTATGTTAGCTTTTTTCTGATACTATTAGAAATGATTTAAAAGTGACTAAAAATTATGAGTTTTCTAATTTTCTTTGGTCAAACAAACATTTAGTTTTAGATTTTTTAAAAGAACAAAAAATGTATGCATAATTATATTCAAATGCTTGTGGGTTGTGCCTATAAGTTGTCAACGTTCATAGAAGGGTAGTGAAATACCCTTTCCCACTTTGTTGCACGATTTGTTTGGCTTTATTTTCAAGAATATAAACAATCATAGCACACTCTCAATAATACATGCATAAATATATCATCAAAGTTGCTCTTTAGAAATAATTTATTTTTTGAATTGAGAAAATATTATAAAAATTCAAAAAAATCAAGACAGGCAAATAGGTTTATGGTTCTAATCTTTTTATATTTTGTTCATAAACTGCGTCATCCTTGGAATCTTCTACTTCTCACTCATAATCAAAATTTAGGATAGAGAATGGTATACGTTTAGTCTATTTTGAAATAAAAGTTTAGTTTAGAGAAAAAGTGGACGTGCCGGAGTGGTTATCGGGCATGACTAGAAATCATGTGGGCTTTGCCCGCGCAGGTTCGAATCCTGCCGTTCACGTTTTTATTTTGAGTGTTGGTAAGTTTTTAAAATTACTTATTGTGTTTTATGGATCGTTTTTGAATTTGGACGGTTTTCTTTCATGTTACCGTTTTCAGTAAAATTTAGTATTGATAAAAAACTTTAAAAAAACAAGACAGCATGAAAGATATGAAGTCAACTTTCTTTCTACTCCTCTTCTTGATAAGTTTAAATTTGATTAAAAAGCTTCTCTTGAATCATCAACATGCATAAAGTGTTATAATACAAAACCGACCTTAGCTCAGTTGGTAGAGCGGAGGACTGTAGTTGACGCAGATAATCCTTAGGTCACTGGTTCGAATCCGGTAGGTCGGATCATTAAAGTTGAAAGCTTTTTTTTTCCATTTCGTTTCAAAGTGCTTAGACAAGAGTATAACTACAAACTCGTTTTTCTATAAGAAATTGGTTTAAGAGAATTGCATAGCTATTGACTGTATTATCAGAAACGAGTGGGAAATCTCGAAGTAATTTTCACTGTATTTTAAACCGTTTAAGGGTAAATCCTCATTTTCGTATATTTACGAGATTTAGGCAAGATATTAAGTGTTTTTCTGATATAATGTTTTTATAAATTCAAACTTTGTTTACAAATTTGTAATAGAGATTCACTATGAGTATGCTAACTTAATACAAATCATTGTGTTCATAGAATATTTAGATCAGTACACATGCATGAAATAGATTACAATCCGACCTTAGCTCAGTTGGTAGAGCGGAGGACTGTAGTAGACGCAGATTATCCTTAGGTCACTGGTTCGAATCCGGTAAGTCGGAATTTGCTCCCACATGAGAGCTTTTTATTTTTCTTTTCTTGTGACATTAAAGTTTTTAAATTTTATAATAAACGGTTATATGGTGGTCGATAATTAAACATACCAAAAAGTTTTGCCCGAATTCTTAAACGATCCGTATGTTTAGCTTTTTTCAATATTGATACGATGAAAAATTATTTAAAAGTGACTAAAAATTATGAGTTTTCTAATTTTCTTTGGTCAAACAAACATTTAGTTTTAAATTTCTTAAAAGAACAAAAAATGTATGCATAATTATATTCAAATGCTTGTGGGTTGTGCCTATAAGTTGTCAACGTTCATACAAGGGTAGTGAAATACCCTTTCCCACTTTGTTGCACGATTTGTTTGGCTTTATTTTCAAGAATATAAACAATCATAGCACGCTCTCAATAATACATGCATAAA